AATAGACAAGAACTCGCCGTATTGTCCGCTAAAATAGCGGCCGTCACATCTGGCAACGCGCGATTTAAAGCCATTAGCGAACATAAAATGCTTGTAGAAGCCCTCTGTGCATTTACAAGCCAACCATAAACTTAATAGTCCGCGCAATAAACCCGCGCTCCGCCGCGTCGTTAGTTAGAACTAATAAAAAACTTTAATGGGAAGTACAACCGCGGGTAGAACAAAACCTCGGGCTCTGGTTGTTTCGTATTTCAACACAAACGGCATAAAGGGTGAACGGGACGAAATCGCGGAATTCCTTCGCGATTATAACAAAGATATTTTTCTAGTGCAAGAGACATTCTTAAAACCTAGTGTACGCGATCCCAGAATCGCAAACTACAACATAGTCCGCCACGACCGGTTAGCAAACCGTCTGGGAGGCACCTTAATTTATTACAAACGGTCCTTGCACTGTAGCCCGCTCGACATTAGAGCTAAGCCATATAGAGGCATCCGCGTGTAGGTTAGCGCTCACCGGCCATAGGCCGCTTGTACTAGTCTCAGCCTACCTCTCGGGGAACAAAACCTTATTACAAAGCGACCTAGATACGCTACTTAACTTAGGCCCTTCCGTGATAATTGCAGGAGATCTAAACTGCAAAACGGCTCATGGGACATCCACAGCATCCCAAATAACAACGAAAAGCATCTCTTTAGCTTATCCGATAATTTAAACTTTAGCATAATCGCTCCTGCGACTCCCACTAGGTATCCTACGGTGGACAACTACCAACACGCAACACCGATAGATATCATGTTATTTAAGGAGGTCTCGCTCGACATCGAGTCGATAGAGACAATCCATAAACTAGACTCAGATCACAGGCCCGTCCTGTGTAAGCTGGGCCAGAACGCCGGCGCGGTCCCTCCGACCAAATCCGTAGTGGACTGGCATCGTCTTGAGAAACCATCACTTCCACAGTCGCTGACTCGGAACGGACGGTTAAACTGTCGGGCGATCGACGGTTTAACTTTCCGCCTGACCTGCGACTCCTAATTAGGCAGAAAAATGCAGCCAAACGCGCTTTCGACCGATACCGATCGGAATCGAACCGAACCCTACTTCGACGCCTTCAGCTAGAAGTCAAAGGTCGTGTATCGGAACACCGACATACAACGTGGGACACTCTCCTAGAGGACATCGAGCCATCGCACACCGCCTACTGGCGGTTGGCCCGCAGTCAGAAAGCAGACCCCCGCGAATCTCTACCACCATTAGTTAGACCTAATAGCGCTTCAGTAGCCCTAGATGACTCCGAAAAACCGAATGCCTTGCGGACAACCTAGAGCAGCAATGTACGCCATCGCGCGAACACACCGATACAGCCTACCTAACGGAGGTGGACCGCGTAATCGAGATTAGGGCTGCGCTTCCACCGGAAGGCGATCCTTTGAATTCAGTGACCCCCGAAGAGGTTCAAGATATTATTAAAAACTTAAAACCCAAATCCGCCCCGGGCCCAGATAATATTAGTAACAAAATTCTTAAAGCTCTCCCTGGGCCGCTTATCTGTTTATGGCGACCATTTACAATACTTTACTCTCCAGTTGCTCCTTTCCAGACGACTGGAAAGAAGCCAGGGTTATCGGCATTCGCAAGCCTAATAAACCAGCCAACCAGCCCTCTAGTTATCGTCCCATCAGCCTCCTCAGTTGCCTGGGGAAGCTCTACGAGCGGCTTTTATTAAACAGGCTCGAAAGCACGTGTTTTCCAACGGCCTTCTGCCGGCGGAACAATTCGGCTTTCGAGCTAGACATTCCTGTCCCGATCAACTATTCCGCCTAACGGAACATATCCTAAAAGGCCTAAATCACCCTAAACATATTAGTACAGGGGCTCTTTTCTTCGATGTCGCAAAAGCATTCAACAAGGTCTGGCACAACGGCTTGCTTTACAAGCTGTACACACTCAAAGTGCCAGATAGGCTCGTACACACACCATCCAGGCCTTCCTGTCGAACCGCTCTTTTCGATATCGAGTTGAAAGCACCCTCTCCACAAGCCGCCGCCTCACGGCCGGCGTACCACAAGGGTCCTGCCTCTCACCTTTGCTCTTTACGCTCTACACGAGCGATATACCTAAAGACCCCCACGTCAATCTCGCGCTTTTCGCGGATGACACGGCGCTCTTTTATTCAGACCGCAACCTTAGACAACTAACCGCTCGACTCCAAAGCGCTCCCGACCGCCTCGGCGATTGGTTCCGCAAATGGAGAATAGAAATAAATCCCGAAAAGAGTGTGGCGATTCACTTCACACGAAGCACTTACCCGTCACATCTTTATAATGGCCCTCGTCAATGCAGAAAGTTGGGGCAAATATCCCTTTATGGCCAACCGCTTCCCTGGGAGAAAAAGGTCAAATACTTAGGAGTCACTTTCGACTCGCGTATGTCATTTACTACGCACATTAATAACGTTCGCAATAGAGCCGCGTTCGTCTCCGGCCGGCTACACAATTTAACTAACGCTAAAAGTAAAATGCCCTTAAGGCACAAATTATTATTATGTAAGACCTGCGTACGACCTATTATGTCTTACGCATGCATGACCCTACTCGCACGCACCCTACTCGCTTGTACAAGTTGCAAATAGTACAAAATAAGTTCATCCGCCGCGCAACCGGTGCGCAGTGGTATCAACGCAACGTCGACCTGCACAGCGATTGCAGACTCCCGACGATTCGCAAATATTTTAAAGACATGACCAAACGGTTCTTCGATAGAGCCGAACATCATCCCAACCCTCTGGTGGTAAGCGCAGCAAATTACCAACCCGACCAAAACGCGAACGTCAACAAGCGTCGCCCGCAAAACGTCCTAATCGACCCGGTCGAGGAAGGGGACTTAGACACGCCGGACCCACTGCCGGGGGTCCCGCCGGACAACACTACACCCACAGTTAGTGCAACAACAAACACACTAGTTCGCCCTCGCCTCCGAGCACGGCGAGACCAACACAACGCGTACACAAGGTACACCCGCGTTCCGGGGCGGTTCTCACCGCCCCCAGCCACCGATTAGCTAATTGCACAGTCGACGGCCATCGGGGTTTCGGTCCGAACCACGACCTCGATGGCCCTTAGATGACGTACCATAGTTAAACGCACGCATGAGCACATGCGTGGCCCTACCCACAGCGGAGGGCCCAAACCCGTGGGTTCTGGCTAGCCCACCGGTTCTGCGTCAGATGAAGCTTTAATAGTCTCGGGACTGAAAGCAAAAACATCAGTTAATACAAGATAATACAAGAAAATTAGTTGGTTACGGTTGATAAAATGTTACAATTGCCAACTTAAAAAAAAGAGACAAGATTTAGTGTAAAGTCAAAGTCAAAATATCTTTATTCAATACAGGCTTAAACTTAGCAACTTAGCTCTTATTGCACGTCAAAAAACGGTTGACTAAAATAGACCTGAACAGAGAAGAACCGGCAAGAAATTCTGCGGTCTTTTTTGTAATTTTTTTTTTTTTTTTTTTTTTTTTTAATATGGAACTGACTAGCGCTTGACTGCCATCCCACCCGATGGTAAGTAGCGATGCAACCGCGGATGGTAAGCGCGCTAGCTCAGTAAAAGCCTTATTCACTCTTGCCTCGAAGACGCCTACCTTATAATCGGATGGGAAGACCGACGCCGGCAGGTTGTTCCATTCCTTAGCCGTACGGATGATAAATGACGATGGATGCAGTTATACAAACTTATTTAGGTATAAAATCAGCAGCAGCCAGGGGTCTTGGGCCTGCATTGTCCCTTTAATCAACTCATTTAGAGTTACAATGTGCTCTTGGATTTCTTTTTGAGCACATTCATATTTTAGTGATATTTTGTAATGATTCCTGATGATATAAGTATAATTATTTTATTTTTAATAAATTATAAAATAAATTTTTGTTTTACCATATTTAAATATGGTAATACAAAATATAATTATCTACAATAAGATAATTCGTCATGCCTCGTCGAATTTGCTTCAGTTCGGTGATTAACGGATTACGATCTTGACCATATAAACTGAAGTTGATAAATGACTAAAGCTTTTCTCTCCCTTGGGGTATTTAGGTCATTAGTCGACTCACAATTTGATTTAAGATCTCGCCACCACATTCCATCCCAAGCGCACACCCCGGTTACACAAACCGGTCCGAAGTTCTCGCTAGGATCTATGGGATAGAATGGGTCCGTTTTTCTAAAAAAAAGTTCACCGTCGAAATAGCTCACTGACCTGGTTCGCCTTTAATCAATATATTCGGCCAATCTTAGTCGGTGCCGGCACCTGACATTGTTTATTTCAGTTTTTAGTGCACTTATCACGTGCTCAGAGGTAAAGGAAAACATCGTGAGGAAATTCTCATTCTTTCGCAATAATAAGTAAAAAAATATTTGAAAGATATGTGAAGTCTGCCAATGCGCAGTTGGATCGCGTGGTGGACTATGCCCTCAATACAGATCGTCAGTTGCTCAGCAGTGGGACGTTATTGACTGTTCAGACTCCGTGTTGCACTTGCCAAGATATTGGCTTCAGTGCCGGGGTCGTGGATTCGATCCCCACACGAGACAACCATGTGTGACCCACAAATGGTTCAATAATTAGGATCTGGATATTTCCACGTGAAATTATTTATGTTTGTGACACGTCCTTACAACACAAGAGAATATTATCCCACTGTTAGGGGGTGTTTGAAGGGACGACTACAACAGATCTTCTAGGTCGGATTGGTCGCTTGGAATTACTACCATCTGTTACTCTCTAAATATTTGACGAAGCAAATACGACCCGTGGATGTTGTGTTTGTCTATTATCAATTGATATTAGATTAACCACCAGCTTTCACAGAAAAAAAGCTGTTTATTTAGCTGTTTACTGTAACTGAGGTTTTAGTGTTAAATCTAAGTGGTTTTAATACCTAAACCATTTGGTCGTGTTTCGGATTTCGATCTTTTCCTTTTTCTGTTTCTAGAAACAAAACACATACTTAAAGGCGTGAATGGATGCTTTAAGCCGGGAGAGCTGACAGCTATCATGGGTCCATCCGGAGCAGGCAAGACCACTCTATTGAATATTCTCGCCGGATACTCGTAAGTACCTAATAACTAATAAGAATTGAAATATATGTTATTACTGAATAAACAGAAATTACAAACCAATTTTGTACATCGTGTCAAAACTGATTTGCTGAATTTTAGAATCTTAAACTGCTTTCGTAGAATTCATGTTCATTTGATAAGTTGTAATGTCCTGATGGCACGGGTAACTCTCGATATAATTTTAAATTAGAATTTTTCCTACAGCAACTGTTGTAACTCGGTTCGCATTCGCTTTTATCTTTGACAGACAGTGAAGTAACCGGGGCTCTTCACATATGCAACATCACAGGTGTTGTTTCATGTCCAGGGTGGCGAAAGTCAACTAGCATTTAGTACACCAGTACGCCTACAGCCTTCCCACATATTAAAAAATCATATAAGCAATGCAAGACAAAACAAACGTAATATCATGAATATTGGGACCGCCACTAGAACTGGTAATAGCTAGTCTCTGAAAATTATCGATCATCAAAATACCATCTAATCATCCGACAGGCAAATTTTTATTAACATTGTTATAATAATTAATAACGTTTTAATAACGTAAATAATTAATAAATTAGGTTATAAAAAATCTTAAATGAACACTGCAATAAACCGATTCGTTTCTATTACTATTATGAAATATTGTAAATAGCAAACTAAACGAAATCAAATTAGTATTGCAATTTTATCATCATAATGGTATTATGATGATAAAATTAACTTTTTTTAATTATTATTTATATAAATGCCTCTGCATAAATTGTGAACTTTTGTAGACAAATAAACAAAAACCCTAATAAATTTATTCCTTTTGAACTTCGCAGCGCCCAAAGTTTTTGTTCATTTACAAAATTCACAATTAATACAGACCTGTTAAGTCAAATAAAAAACATACGATTATATGCTTACTAATATCATAATCGCGAAAGTTTGTATGTATGGATGGATATAATACTATGTCACGCAAAAACTACTGAATAGATTTTAATGAAACTTTACAATAATATAGCTTATACATCAGAATAATAAATAGGCTATAACTTATAAAGATATTGTGTGAATTGTCCAAAATATAGGTAATGATAAGTGTCAACTAAGTAGGAAAAAATTCAGTCATCTGCCAGATATTCTGGTGTATAATAAAAAACTCATTCATAATTTCCCTTTGGCCGCGCGGGTGAAACCGTGGTTAACAGCTAGTTTGCCAATAAAAACTAACTTAACTTTAATCGAATATCTTAATTAAAAAACTTCAGTAATTATAATAAGTTAGGAAAAGGATAACAAGAACAGATACGAAATTTGGAGGGATAAAAACTAATTTATTCTTTAATATACTTTTATTATTACAGTACTAAAGGTGCAAAAGGTGAAATCAAGATCAACGGTACACCGACATGCGCCTCCCAATCGACGAGCCGTGGCGGCGCGCGCTACATCCGCCAGCAAGATGACCTCCGTGTCCATCTCACCGTATACGAATCCATGTCTCTAGCGGCCGCTCTTAAACTGGCCGACTTCTCACCGCACGAGAGGAAAGAGAAAGTGAGAGAAAGCTGGCGAATATTGTCCATGTCGATGAATCACACAGTGCCGACTAAATTATCTCTTGCATCATTCAACAATGGAAAAAAATTACGCTTTTTTTGGAATATATGTTTTTTTTTAACTGCGGTAGGGCCACGCAACAGTTTTCACTTTTGCACGAATGGGCAGGTCCGTCCAGGTAAGTACCACGATCACACAGAAGACCTGCGTGAAGTGTTTATACTTCAGCGTTTCGTCTGGTAAGTGAGGTAGCCGGGGCCTGTTTTATTATTTTTTTACAAATGTCCATGGGTGGTGGTTATCACTTAACATCAGGTAAAAGCTCCTTTGCCGCCTTTTCACGTAAAAACAATGTGTTTATTACCAATTCGATTATGAAATTTTGCAATTCCCCTTTTCAAATAGTTGTAGGACATCTAACAATATTTTTCTTAAAATTGTAAGAATTGTAAGAAACTTAAAGAATTGTAAGAAATGCTCTACTCCTGTCCGTTTCCATCAGGTTTACGAGATTCTGGCTCTGTTGGGGCTCAGTGCAGCAGCCCAAACTCTCTGTCGTGACCTCTCGGGGGGTCAACGACGAAGGTTGGCCGTTTCTTTGGAGCTACTGTCTGATCCCTCCTTATTATTCCTCGACGAGCCAACGACGTAAGTAATTTATTCAAATCACCATTGTTACTCACGCATAATAAGTTCAATGATGTCAATGCTTTCGCGCCCTTGCATGATTGACACAAAATAAAAAAAATGTTAAGTGATTATTTAAATGAGAACTTGAAATTATTCTGGACGTACCCAATGCTAAAGGGCATGAGTAAAGATGGAATGATGACTGAAAAGACTGATGAATTTCTGTAATCGAATTCGCTTAACAGAATACTTTTTGGATTTTAAAAATAGCTTCAACTAGATTACCAACAGTGTAAGATTAAAATAAGGAGAACACTGCCTAAGCTCATTTAAAAAAATTAGATAATTATTTATTTATAATGCTATATAAAATGGAATGAAAATCGAATTATAAACACGCCAAGAATTATAAACACGATAAGATATTCATTTTTATTATGACCATTTGTTTTCCGAATAATGAAACGACTAAACTCACGTAGAGGTCCTTTATCAGGATGAGTGATTGGTCATGATGATTTTCGCGGTCGCGCCTCATACGATTAATAATTTTACCATATATTTAAAACAGGGGCTTGGATTCATCAGCATCGACATCCCTTATCTCTTTATTGAATGGCTTAGCCCGCGGAGGGAGGACTTTGATAGCGACCATCCACCAACCTTCTGCGTTGCTCTTCGAGAGGATTGATTCAGTATACTGCCTAGCAAACGGGCGGACATTATATTCAGGATCGAGAACGCAACTTATACCAGCCTTAACGAGCGCTGGCCTGCGTTGCCCACCGTACCACAACCCTGCTGATTTCTGTAAGTTATTTTACAGTACATATTGTATGTGTTACAACCTACGTATTACCATAATCTTATATCTAGTATTCACGATCTGACAGGCTTAATATTTAAGTTTGCCGAGTACTATTATTTAATAACAATATTTTTATCCAACAAGTATTTAAATTAGACGTCTAATTAAATATTTTTATTACACCTATATTATCGCAACTTTGACTTTTTATAACGTCACGCCCCGTTTGCGCAAACCGTAAAACGTTTTTTTTAATCAACTTCAGAAAGCTATATACATATTTAATTAACACTGGCGATCGCATTAACGACTTTGAAATAACGTTGCTATTGTTTGATTAACTAAGAACAGCAAAGACATAAATAACGATAAGCGTATAAAAAGAGTTTCTTCCCGCTATGGTGTAACATTTTACCACTTTATATGGAACACCTTTATTGCAAAAAAAAAAAATATATATATATATACATATATATATATATATATATATATATATATACATATATATGTATAAAGGACTTGCGTTCGTTAGTCTAGCTAAAACTGGAGAACGGCTGAACCGATTGGGCTAATTTTGATTTTGGCAGTCCAAGGAAAATTTAAACGGTGAGAAATAATGGAAAAATGTCATGGAAAATCGAAATAGCAACAAAACAACGTTTGCCGTGTCAGCTAGTCTATATATATAAAAATGAATTGCTGTTCGTTATTCTTGCTAAAACTCGAGAACGGCTGGACTGATTAAGCTAATTTTGGAAATTTATATTCAGTAGGTATGAGAATAGGTTTATAACATTTTTTTTCTTCCCTACAAAATATAATTTATATGGCAAAAGAACGTTTGCCGGGTCCATTCTTCCAGTAGTAGGGATCGAACACATTTACATCAACCAACTTTTCCTTAGCGATGGAAAATTATTGCCACTAAAAGCAGAATACCATTATTTCTTGTTCTACCCATAGCGGCAAAATAACAGTCTTTCTTAACTTACCACTACTGGCATATATTCAGTTTTATTTTATTGCCACTGGTGGTAGACTAAACACTTCCATATTTATTTAATATTCCTAGGTGATTGTTTATATACATGATAAGGGATATTAGAAAACGCGTCCACAATAAACAATCAGCGTGATATGATGCGTAGCTCTCAACTCATTAAATATTAATATATAATAAAATAAAGATTTGATACACAATTATTATTAAACAATAAATAATATCCATATTAAGTAGTTTAGTCTATTTGGATTAGTTACACACAGCCGATAATATTTTAATTGTTGATGATGACTACATCTGTGGTTAATGTTCTAGTCCAGCAAGTCTCTTTTCTACCGCTTTGAAGATTTGAATGTAAATTGTGATGGACACAATAATACAAAATAATTGTATCACCCACTTGTTGTACGTGTTACAAATGACAAAAAATATATAAATAAGTCTATAAAATCAAAGTACAAATCAATGAAAAGTTGATAATATATGCTTTTATGAATACGGAGTGGCCGCCAACTCTACCCCCGTACTCTGTGATATGTTTATTACTAGTTAAATTGTTTAAATCATTTGTACGGTGACATAAGTGTCACCTAAGCTTAAGCCCGATTAAAAAGGAAGGAAAATTACTATGAACGGGCAATTATTTACGTACTTTAATCTAATACATTCATTAACAATGACACAAATGTTAATCATTGTGTGTATTAATGTTGATTTACTTAGATGTTGCTATATTTTATTTCATAAATGTAAGCTAACGATACAAGTACGATTAATACGGACCTACGTTGTATGATCTTTTTAATCATAGCGACAACTTGGACAGTTGCCGTTTAACAAAACTAATATTTTTCTGTATAATACCACATTACCATCTTTGGGAATGAGAGTAAAGCGTAATGTTAAATACTATCTACTATGCTCGGTCAGCGGTTACTATAAAAGCCCTCGTTTTGGATGCTAGTTGTGTAGACACTTTGCATCTCATCTAAGCGGTATTTCAGTCGGGGCCGGATAGCCATCAGAAACAGCTGTAATGAGTTACTGGCATTAAATTTGAGTCTCTTTGTTCATATTATGTATTTCTGCCCTTTGCTATTGATACGTGGAGTCTGCGCGCATAGAAATTTTTGGAAGATTTACAGTGAAAAAATGGCTGGTTCTTTTCTCGCTCAAGGTAAATCATAACTATTCAGCGAGGAAATGGAGCCAGCGTTCTTGACAACATGCCGTGTGTAATAGGTTTATTATATACAACATGTTTATTAGTTAGATTTATTATTGTTTTTATTGATTCATTATTATTAATTAGATTAAATATTTTATTATTACAAAAGTATTAAAATTCACTCAAGGATCTTAGTGCACCATGGATGTTTGCGAGTAGATTGTTTTGATACGACAAATAAAGCATAACGAATAAAGTGGTTTTGGACGTGGTTTTGAACTCGTATGCATGGTTTCAAAAATAGTAGAATACTTTTAAAAGCACACAACAAAAGCGTGAAATTCATGTATTTTGCGCAGCACCCATGCGTGAGTCACATCACAGAAGATAATAGACGACGTGGCAAAAAAATATCGAGATGTATATACCAGAGCTGATATGAAGCAGTGTGCTTCATGTAAACACAGTTTTGTGAACTCACATTTAAATTTCATTTGTTGGTGTGTCCGTTCAACAATTGACTATAATGAGCTGAAGTGCTCATGTTAATTAAGGTCAAAAAGACGACAGATAGAAAGAAATACAGACAAATAAAAAAAATATCATTTAAAAAATTTTTTTTCAATAACTTTCGTAAACTGCACTGAGTAAAAAACTTACTTTTTTATATACCACTTTATCTTTTAACTTAGATATCCTTAGTATTTTTGACATAAAATTAAAAGATGTTTTAGTTTAAAACATAATATTATGAACACATTTAAATCAAATTAAAGCTGTTAGCGTTAGTTTAGTTACACAAAAGTGAATAGTTTCTATTAAATGATATCTGGTGGTATATTTTGTATTTTAAAAAAATTAAATAGGTGCATACGTAATGAGAAATTCCTATTATTTCATTAATATAAAGAGAAGAGACATTAAAATTATGTAATAAAATACGTTTCTTTATCATTTTATGTATTGTTCCAGTAATGGAAGTGGCGTCCGGAGAGTACGAAGTCGATCTTGTGAAGGTGGCGAAAACCATGGTCCATTTTAAGTCTGAGCCCGCTGCTGCTTCTAGTTTGGAAGATTTACCCACCGCACCGTCTTTAGCTAACCATCTAAGTACGTAACATTTTTTATTTTTCTTTTCAGTTGAATCGCGAACCACATAAATGTAAAATTACTTTTAAAGTAACAGTCAATACATGTCCCACTGCTGGGCAAAGGCCTTCTCCTTAGAGGGGGTATCAGAGCATAGTCCGCCACGCAGCCCCACTGCGGATTGGCGGACTTTACATATCTTCGATTTTTTTTTTAATTATAATTTCGAAAATATCCAGGATTCCTCACGATGTTTTCCTTCACCGCCGAGCACGTGATAAGTCAGCACTTAAAGTTAAAAACTTCATTGGTGCCGGCACCGGGGATCGAACTCAGGTAGCTCGAGTATATTGCATAAAGGAGAGCGCCCAGAGACTGAGCTATCACGGCTCCATACCGTGATACAGCACCATAGAATTTAAATGTATTAAACATCAAAGATTTACTTATACAGAGATGGGATATCGGTAAGCATTTTAACTATGTATGGAACCAGAAAATCGTCTTTGATGTAACCAAAGTTTAATGATTTTTAACGAACTCTTTAATTAATGTAATTAAATTGTTTCAGGTTTTAATGACGAGCTAAAACAAAAGCCTCTACAAAGCAACGCTAAATATCAAAGAAGTTACTCAAAGAACATTTACAGACCGTCCGGCAATATTCGTCAAACCTGGATTCTACTTTATAGAAACTATTTAATGACGACGAGGAATTATGTAAGTTTAATATAAATATGCTTAGTTATTTTCTTGAGCGATTTACACGCTGCTTGTTACATCTTGAACTTGAAAAAGTGGATATCACGCTAAATCTATGTATCTTACCAATTTTAAAATGACATAACATGACTAAAGTGACGATTTTAATTGATACTTAAATAGTCAATCGTAATTTTCAATGTTAATCTCGCCCAGTTTTGAAGCAAAATTTTATATTTTTAGCCTGAAAATGTCTTGAACCCTTTCATTTTTACATAGCACCGATGACGAATTGCAATTTCGAGTGCTTATTTATTATAGGCACAATTAATACGAACACAAAAAGTCAACGAATTATTGTAGTTCTGAAACGCATCATAGAGCCTTCGTTATTCTCTCACCTCTTTCCTAAGATAACAACTGGCTGTGAACATTGAAATAACCATAGCTTTATAATATATAGCTGATCTTTATAGGCCTGACGTCGATCTCAACCACAGCGAGCTAACTCATGAACGATATCGTAGGGTGGCTTTTTGACTCTAGTAAAGTAGACCTATTACTACTTTATTAATCACATGAAAGGCGTGGGTAGAACTATTATCTAAAATCCTCTATAGACAGACGTAATTACTCGTTAGGTGTAAAATTTGTACCATAGTTATTTGTTTCACTTTGTCTGTTTTTATCTCCTTCCGGCTGTTTTATTTCAAGCACGAAATCTCAACAGTATTGCCAAATGGTAGCAGGTTTTATTTAAGAATTATGTAGAGATTAATTAATTAATTAATAATTATCGTAATTCATTGTTTCTCTCTTCCAGTCGCTATTTATGTACAGAGTGGCAGCCCACGTGGTGATAGCTCTCATCTTCGGTTATTTGTACTCTGGAGTGGGAAGCGAGGCGAGCAGTGTTCTAGGAAACTATGTCTATTTGTACGGATCGATGCTTCTCGTCGTGTATACTGGAAAAATGTCGGTAACACTTTCGTGTGAGTATCACTTAAAGTGCACTCTTATATTTTTAATGTGTAATTTTTACAGTAGAAGAACCACACAGTAGCTTTTTCTATGATACGAATGGATATGGCTTACGATTGCCTTCAAACTGTTGTACTTATGCTCTCTTTTAATTAACATTATTCCGATTATAACTGTCATCTGGAGGAAACAGCTTTCAGAGCGATAAGACCGCCTTTTGTATATGCATTTAATATACCTTGTTTTATTTTATATCAAAGTAAAAGTAAAAGTAACAGCCTATACATGTCCCACTGCTGGGCAAAGGCCTCCTCTGTATAGAGGGTATCAGGGCATAGTCCACCACGCGGCCCCACTGCGGATTGGCGGACTTCACATATCTTCAAAATATGTTTTTTGTTATTATTTCGAAAATATGCAGGTTTCGTCACGATGTTTTCCTTCATCGCGGAGCACTTGATAAGACAGCACTTAAAGTTAAAAACTTCATTGGTGCCGGCACCGGGGATCGAACTCAGGTTGCTCGAGTATTGTCATTGTTTTATTTCATGATTGATTGGACAGACCCGTCCGGGAATTTACTTAAATTACAAATTGCTTCCACATTTCGTCTGGTGAGTGAGCTAGCTGCGACCAAATTTTTGAAGGTTGGCGATGCATCAATAACCCCTCTAGTGTGGTAGATGTCCACAGGTGGCAGTGATTATATTATTAACATACGTTTACGGTTATCCATTTCAGTTCCGTTAGAGATGGATATCCTGAAGGGTGAATACTTCAATCGCTGGTATAACCTGGGTCCGTACATCTTCTCAATTCTAGCTGTCGAGTTACCATTCCAGGTAAATGTTTGTACTAACATACTGATCATATTGATTAATATATTATGTTCATATAAATACAAATTTAAGGCCGCGGTCTTCGCATGTTAATATGGCGATAGCGATAATTAACACTATACCGCGAACTCAAATTTCATAACGATCTCTACAAACCTCGCATTCACCCCGACCGCTATAATGATACTAATTTTGAACAAAGCACGCAAAACAAGTGAGTATCACTAGCCCAATTACGACACTCGTAATTGGGTTAATGATACTTACTTGATGTACAGATGGTAGACTGGAGTCAATGCTTGCCATTGCCTAATTAACGCGCGAAGACCATAGATATTTAGTATAATCTTCAACATAATTATTATAATCTTAAATATCTTATATATAAAAATGGATTGCTGTTCGTTAGTCTCGCTAAAACTCGAGAACGGCTGAACCGATTTGGCTACTTTTGGTTTTGAAATATGTGTGGCAGTCCAGGGAAGGTTTAAACGATGTGAAATTAGTGAAAAATTGCATGGAAAATCGAAATATCAACAATTTTATTTTTATGGGACAAACTGTACCTGTCAACTATATTTGTGTAACCTCTCAAACACTTTATGCGTGCGTTCCGATTCCTCTAGAAATAATTTTATATGGCAAAACCACGTTTGCCGAGTCAGCTAGTATATATATATATATATATATAAATGAATTGCTATTCATTAGTCTCGCTAAAACTCGAGAACGGATGGACCGATTTGAGTAATTTTTGGTTTGAAATATTTGTAGCGGTCCAGGGAAGGTTTAATCGATGAGAAGTAATGGATATCAGATTGAAGTTCAGATTGACAAATTCCCTAGAAATAATTTATTTGGCAAAACAACGTTTGCCGAGTCAGCTAGTGACTTATAAAGCTTTTTATAATCCAGTGGCAATACCAATGATGATTTGAGATATTTAAAAAAACTTACAAACATTTTTGTAATGGTGGACAAAAATGTTTGTAAGTTTTTTTAAGCCCCTATTTAATTAAAACGTCAAATTTTCACCTTTCACGTTTAGGGCTTATAATACTGAATAAAAATAAAATACCATCAGTTATCTTTTTATCTACTTTTTACGACTTAATGTGAAATTTATTTCACTTTAGTAAATTTTCGGATCGGCGGACTTCCCATATCTTCAAAATATTTTTTGTTATTATTTCGAAAATATGCAGGTTTCCGCACGATTTTTTTCCTTCACCGTAGAGTATGTAATAATACAGCACTTAAAATTAGGTAAAATTTTTTTTAATCTTTCTTTTTTTTTTCTCTCTCAAAAACAATGTTTTTAACGTAATGCTAATATATATAATTTAATATCACACCCCGTTTGTTGAAAACTGAAATGTTTTAAGCGAAACAACTCTTCTCAAAGTGTTATAAAATACCAATTCGACTCCAATATGGAAAATACGACAAATACTCAATTTAAATGACATTGAGGCGCTGACCCAAAAATTGATGAAAAATATTAGAGCTCTTAAAATGATTGTTTGCTTGAGCATATTTCCGAAGAAACTTCTTATCTCATCACTTTCGAACTCAGCGACATAGTTGCAGTCGAATGAGCAATCAATGAATATTCATTTATATATCTAGACATTTTTTGTAGTCAAGATGTTTCCGTAACCAACGTTTCGTTTGTTAATGTTTGTATTTTCTTTCACAGATGATTTCTTGCGTATCGTATGTTGTGCTTTCGTACTGGCTGACTGACAATCCACTGGAACCGACTCGGGCGACTCTATTCCTGGCTACCGTAGTCGCGACGTCGCTTTGTGCACAGGCGTGGGGCTACTTCATCGGTTCCACTACACCCACAAAGGTTTATTACAATTCAATATACTAGAAGTATTACCTTGCATAAAATTATAGAGAAACTTAATTGGATAGACGTAGCAGGCGGATCTAGGCTCGTCTGGGGCAGTACCGCGGAACCACACAAGACCGGCTTGAAGTGGAAATAATATTTTTTGCGTTTTTTCTGGTAAGTGAGGCGCTTTTTAAATGGTTGGCAATGTATCAGCAACCTTTTATGTTTATATATTTAATATCAAAACGGCCTGTTTGGCAATTTTTCACATAAAAAAATTAATACATGTTTCTAAACTTTTTCCAGATCGCAGTATTCATAGGTCCAGTTCTGGCTTGCCTGTTCTCTGTGTTCGGCTTTTGCCTAGCCTTGTCGGATACGCCCTATCCGTTCCGTTGGTTGCACCACATATCTTACTTCAGGGCTGGGTTCCACGTGGCTGTTCACTCCGTATATGGCTTCAATAGAACGAAAATTCACTGTTCGAAAGGTAACTTAATAGTATTGATGATTTTCCAAAGGTTTTTACTTTATCTTTCTTAATAAACGTTTAACTGATAGCAATATTTATGTACCGGTCAATGAACAGTGTGTGTTGATTAAATTACTTATAGATTTTATTATAAATATCCATATGTATATGTTGACATTAATACAGTTTAGTTATGATAATATATTACTTTCACTATGTTATAACTCAATGCTACAATCGCGAAACTTTCGCCATTTATTTTATGGCTAAATTAATTAATTGAGAATATAATTAGTACGTACCCTTGGCTTCATCATAAATGATATTGTTAATTTGATGTATCTTAGATTGTTATAACGACGCAAAGCTTGCGTTATGCTTTCAGTCCGGAGATTATGTTAAGCTTCTTCGGTCTCAGAACTTGTTATACTCCCTTGGAGTTCGTGGGTTCGATTCCCACATGAGACAACTATTTGCGTGACCCTCAGATTTCTGATCTGGGTGTTTGTTCACGTGAAAGTTTATTTAAGTTCTTACAACACAGGATACCTAATGTTATCACAAAGTAAGATGACAATGTTTTTGAAGGGAATATTACAATAGTTGTTAGGACCACCAGACCCATTCCAAGCAAAATACGAATACAATCACGTGTGTGCGATTGTGCTTAGAGACGAAATTAACAGTTGGTCTCGCCTATAAGCGCCCTATAGGGTGCTTTACAATGAGGTTGTGTCTATAGTATTTTCGGGCGCGAAAACCCTCAACAGCTAAGCCTAGATACGTGAACACTACTGACAGGCTGATAAACTAGTTTCTTCGCATTGATTCCAGAATATTGCCACTACATCACACCGAGTAAGTTTCTCGTTGAAATGGATATGGCCCACGTGGACGTTGGAGGAAACATGGCACTAGTATTGTCAACTACAGTTCTAATGCACATTTTGACTTGTGCCGCCCTCTGGTACCGGCTTAACAAGAGATGAAGTTAACGTTAATGCAATGTAAATGCATGACAATGCGACTGATACTTTAGACTATATTATGCCTAGATTAAAATTTTAATCAATTTACGTTTATGTTTCCACTTAATTTATGTAAATAGAACAATTTAGAGAATTATTAGACATAGCAATTTAGATAAGATACGCTTTTCGCGTCTGATAATAATAAAATATCTCATAAATATTTTAATCGAGGATCTATGATAGGCAAATGATTTTTGATATTAATAAGTGAAAAACAAATTGTTGAATGAACTGGCTCAGATTCTTTAGTAACTTTAGCTTATTTATATACTACCCAAAGATTTGCGTTATTTAACTTTTATGAAAGACAAAAATTATGTTTATAAAATTCAACTTTTAAAAAAAAATAGTTAAAATTAAAAGGCTGTGTAGTAACAGTATATGTAATCAATATTTACTACTTTTGAAGTATTTTGCTAAGCTGCTCGTTTTAATGTCTTATAATTTAAGAGGCAAAGCATTTAAGAATAGAGTTTGGATCTTTTTGAAGTCAAAAAGCAAGCGAAGCTCAATGGACGGTAGTCACCACCTTCCACGGATGGTCTACTATCACAGCCAGGTTGGTGTAGCATTGTGGGCATTTGAGATTCACCTTGGCATAACTATGTCATGCTTTTCCTCTGGTTTTTTTTTATGTGAAAAGTTGTAGAGCGACCAGATGGTTCACCTGATATTAAGTGAAATGAAGTGACATAGTATTGCAGACACGAGGATTTATAGTTGCTTTGACAATCTTTTAAGAAGTGGGATCCGTTTACCTCACTCACCAGACGGAACGCGAAAATTTAATACTTTCACTTCACGCCGCTCTTCTGTAAGGTAGTGGTGCTTCCCCGGACGAGGCTGTCCGTTCGTACAACAGAAGGTGCTACGTAGCCCTACCAAGCCTGTCTGTGGAGCCGCAGACATTAAATTACTTATATATCTACTGTATCACGTATACTTTTACTTGCTAATAATAAATAATAACCTGTGATCAATAATTATATTGAAATTTAATTTATTGGAACATAAAACGGTTATACAGTATAATATATAATACGTAAATATTAGTTCCTTCTATTTGGATCGGCTTTCTAAAAAACTCTTTCGAATACAAGAAGAAAATTTACGTACTCATGACACATAATTTGTTCGTTATTTTAGATCGGCCTTTATAATTAATTTATAATATGTAATTTTAGATAGATTTAATCTTGTAAAAATAATCAATAAAGATTGTCCAAATTACCCATATAAAAAAATTCACACTTCACACAACTCTAACACTGGTTAGGAAATGTATACACATTCTTTCATTGCTGATTTAGCACTATTTTTTGTTAAGTAATAAATAAAGTTTAGATCATATTTAGAATAATTTGCAATATCAGTAGTGTATTAAGAAAAATTATTGCAGTGCCTTACAGGTTAAACGTCTGGGCACACCACAATAAGTATTATTAAGAGAGAAGAGTATTTGACAGTAGTCGTATTTGACAGTAATCGTTTATAAAATAAGCTCAGTACTTTACCTTTATGTCCTTTCCTAACACATTTGATAACGAATTTTGATACACTGTCTACAAAATGCGATAGAATATTTTTAGTATATCAAAGTTAATATAAAAAAAAATATAAACATTAAAAATTTTTGTACTTTTTACGAGACTTCCGTTCTGCTAAAATTTTATAGTCAATACGCCAAAAAGGGTAACTTCAGATAAGCTTATACATCCTCAAGATCTTAGATATGTTGTAAATGTATGGCTTCATTCCCATCTATTCTAAAATCATTAATTATAGTGAAAATCCAGTGAGAATTAATCACATTAGTATATCTCACAGAATATTGCTTTGTCTTTTTTTTTAAAAGCTATCGCGCTGTATCAGGATAATGTAACAAGACCTAAGCATGTTTGAAATTCTATGAATAACCTTTCTCCATGATGATTTGCTTATGTAAGCAGCACAAAGAACCAAGCTTATAAACAGAATTCTGTCGTTTGTTATATCTATGGTATTACTTAATACCAAAACGATATATTTCCACACATAAAAATTATTACATCTAAAGTCAAATGTACTCAATTCCACCAAACTACCGTATAACATAATTATATCAATTATTTGTTAACCTGAAATAAAAGATTTGTTTTATTTGTATAATTATTTTAATTCTGTCACCAATTTCATCTTGTAGATAGAAACGCTCATTTATTGTGCATACTTGTTTAATATTAAATATGTGGTCATTTCATCTGAATGTAAAAAAATGCTGAAAGAACACTAAACCTTAATAATATAATTGAATAAATCTTTATTTTGTTTAGTTTTAAACCTTAATGAAATCGGCAAGTGGTGAACAAGAAAAAGCGCAAGAAGCGCTGATCACAGCCGTCTTCTACGGCCCAGTCTCCGTCCCGCCCGTAAAGGCGCCTAGGCCGACCGGATAGGCTGAACCTGGTCCTTCCACACAACCGCCTCACTGGCGGCTCCCGCGCTTCTCGCTACCCAACGTGCGCTTCAGGATAAGCACCTTCCTCCTGCTGACATGCTGACTGAATGTAGATGCATTCAGTCCGCTGAAAAGTGGACCATGATCGCATCTACCTTATCTAATAGGGTTAAATTTGGCGCTACTACAACAAGCCAAGGTGTAAAGCTGCAGCTTGAAACGGCCAATGCCCACAGACTAGTTTCAAAATTCCTTCGAGATAAAGAGGTGTATTACTACACCTACAAGCTGGCAGAAGAACGTATACTCCGCGTAGTTATCAAGCGGATACCCGGCAACATCGCGACAGATAAGATTTTTGATTCCCGCGTATCACGGAAGCTAGGCTCCCAAAGCCCGCCGCATAGCCGGCAATAATTTCACTTACCCCAGCGACCGGAGATAACCCCATCGACTCGCTCAGTAGACTCATCCGCATCGTCAACATGTCTTAAGTAATGTCCTTCGCCGAGAAATACGCAAACGGCGACTTCGCTTCCAGGATCGAACTCCTACTAAAAAAACAGGCACATCGTAGATGCGCTCTCAAACTAAACAACGAATATGGATAGTACAGCAAGAACACCAAAACACACCGCACTCGCCGGCAAGTGCGACAAACATGTACTAGGTTCTGCCACGTACCTGGCAGGCTCGCCCCAGTTAATGATGTTAAGCTTTGCTGGAGTTTCTTCCGCCACTTCTTCTGCCAGCGCTAACGCTTACCGAAGTGGTAGTAATTTTAGAAATTCTCCTAAGTCAGTTAATAGTTACCGATCGAGCCGAGGTCCGGCCCTCTCAGGCACCCTCGAATCGAAAACCTCCGGGGGACCCTTGAGCCTAGTCACTCCATGGAGCGTCCGCCAAAGCGCCCTAAAAGCTTCGCGGCCTCACAAACCGGTGATAATAATGGCGTAACAGCCCGAGCCGAGGCTCCATCGGAATCCCTCGGGCTAAGCCACCATAACTCGTAATAATAATACGCCGAGGCTCAGGCTAGGCGCCCCGAGCGTCAGATCATCTCAAGTCCGTCGGAACTGTAAAGGCCCCTGTGGCCAACAGCGGCCCCAAAAGAAATAAAAAAAAATTAAATGACATTGATCTTTTGTGAGGTCGTGTTACTTTCCCGGACGGAACTTTTTTTTGTTAACGTCGTGGAAATGCCTACGGATACCCACCCTCGCGGAGGCGAGAGCGGGGTCGGACTCACACCGACTAAAACCCCCACGATATTCCACCTAGGCGCATATCGGCAGGGCCACGGGAACGCTTTCGCACACTTCCGCGACCCTGCCAGCGCTGGCCGCCTCAGCAGCCCCCTCCCGGGGAGCAACCCCCTCTCCTCCAAGCAAATCGCGCTGGAATATTCAGCGCGCCTTCCTACTCGGCCCCTTTTTCATCGCCAACGAACTCCCCCGAGTTCGATGACCAGAGGCCATGGGAACCCGGAGAGCCCGTGCCAAAAACTTGACTGGACTTGATCTGTGGCTCCGCCGCTCACCACGTCTCGGCCGCGGAGGGCAGGGAAAACGGCGGACCGCAATACCGACACTCCTTTCCCCCCACGGCCCCATCAGCATCAGCGGTGCAGCCCCGCCGAATCACGGAGTATAGGGAGCGCAGCCAACGCAATACCAGCACTCCTCTACCCCCGCGACTCCTCCTCGGTAGCAGAATACAGGGAGAGAGGCTCCACCTCTACTACCCTCGACCTGGTCCCCTGCATCCTCCAGCACGCATCCAGAGTGGGCTCGCTGAGCCCACTCGGAGTGGCCAAGTGTGGGTTTCTCTTAGCTTCACCATGGGTGACCAAACCACGACTACTAAGCTCCTCCGCCACGTCAAGTCGGGAACCCGGTCGCAGGGGTTCCCGCAATGACCTGCCATTCGATATAGAATGGATTTGTTATTTTACAATTTACATGAAACGTATATAGGGCGCGGGCGGAAATTTAGACAAATATAAACTTATACTAGATGTATTTTTGATTTGCACAACATTATTTACTCACTTTTCCTAAAGTTAGAATAACCAAACCAAACCATTTTATCAGACAGTCGCTGCGGTCAAGAACTTATAGGTCAAGTACACGAGAAATAAAATAACTTCCTTTGAACAGTTAAAAGCGCCTAAAGGAAACAAATTAACATTTTTCTAAATGGAAATACAGTAAAAACACACAGTAATCAAAATTTCAGAGAAAAGTGAAACCTAGGCTGTACATTATTTTTTTTATTTTTATTATACCTTATATATAACTAACTTTCGAAGAGGGTAGAGAATCCTTACCACCGCTGCATCAACGGTGCCCCACGACTCAGTGGGGGAAAGGAAGAGCGGCAAAACGCCTTCCTCGCTCGCATCCAAAATGGGCTCAATGAGTCCACTTAGAGCGGCCCTCTCGAGGTTTCACCGAGGGTGATCAAGCCACGGCTAAGCCCCTATGCCACGACAAGGCGGGAACCAGGTCGGAGGGGG